TAGTGATGCAAGTGCAATATGTTTGAAAAGGCTGGGGATGAAGCAACTGCCGATTTGCGCTTGCGCAGCATTGAGACATTAACACATTCAAAACAGATGCGTGAAGCTGGCATCAATGCATTTCCTATTCAACCCCAGCCGATCCACATATCGAAGATTCACGGAGTCAGCGGGATATTTGGATCGACGCACAACCTTCCTGAATTCCGATCGCACAACTATATTTGCTGGTAAACAAGAAGCCTTAGGAACTCGGCTGGAGGCAAGGATCCTCGCATGTCTTAAAGAGTTAGTTCACATTTAAACACGCGAGCCACTTGTGAAGAAACTGAAAATGACGCAAATGCCGAAATTCGATTGCTCATATTTGACATACAAACGGGATGCTCAAGAATAATGCAGGACTCTGGCATCAAACTACTTCAATTTGTATGCCGGCCGACTAACAAACGGAAAATTTAACTCTGCGGGCGATTGCGATCGGCGCATTCCCTATTGAACCCAGGTTGAAGAAAAAATGCAAATCAACAAATTCTACGGGGAACTGGGTCCCGCGCGTTTCTAATTGATTTCGCATCGAAGAAGCGAATACACTACGCATTCCGAGGGCGAGGATAAGCAGATGCCGAACTGCGCCTTCTCTGCGGATCACACTCTGCGTCATCATCGTCCTTGCGTCGAGCCTGCCCCAACTGAAAGCGCACCCGAAAACAGACAGGTCACGGAACGCCCAAAAACCTAGCAGAAGTAGTCGTAGAGGTCGTATTACTATTCGTATTAGCGTTCGCAGTGGTATCAACATTCGGATGTCCATCAGTGTTACCAGTAGCCGTGGAAGTAGCACTCGTAGTAATAGTGGTAGTAGTCGTAGTAGTAGTAGTAGTAGTAGTAGTAGTAGTAGTAGTAGTAGTAGTAGTAGTAGTAGTAGTAGTAGTAGTAGTAGTAGTAGTAGTAGTAGTAGTCGTAGTCGTAGTAGTAGTAGTAGTAGTAGTAGTAGTAGTAGTAGTAGTAGTAGTAGTAGTAGTAGTAGTAGTAGTAGTAGTAGTAGTAGTAGTAGTAGTAGTAGTAGTAGTAGTAGTCGTAGTAGTAGTAGTAGTAGTAGTAGTAGTAGTAGTAGTAGTAGTAGTAGTAGTAGTAGTAGTAGTAGTAGTAGTAGGAGTAGTAGTACTAGTACTATACTAGTAGTAGTAGTAGTAGTAGCAGTAGTAGTAGTAGTAGTAGTAGTAGTAGTAGTCGTAGTAGTAGTAGTAGTAGTAGTAGTAGTAGTAGTGGTAGTAGTAGTAGAAGTAGTAGTAGTAGGAGTAGTGGTAGGAGTAGTAGTAGAAGCAGTAGTACTGGTAAAGGTGATCGTATTAGTACAAGTAGTAGTAGTAGAAGAAGAAGTAGTGGTGGTAGAAGGAGAAGAAGAAATAGTAGTAGTAGTAGTAGTAGTAGTAATACTAATCCCAGTAGTAGTAGCAGTAGGTACGAGTGTCAATACTAGTAAGCGTAATCGATAAGTCGTAGTAATATTACTAATAACAGAAGTTGTAGTACAAGTAGCAGTCATCATCGTGGTCGTAGTAGCAGCATTAGTAGCCGTAGTAGCAGACGTAGTAGTCGCAGTATCAAGAGTGGCAGTATGAGGAAGAATCGTAGCGATGGAAATAGTAGTAATACGAATCGTAAGAAAAGTACGAATACAGATATTAGTAGCCGTAGTAGTGGTAGTGGTAGCAGTCGTACTAGCAGTAGTTACAGCAGTAGCACCGGTAGGACCAGTTTTAGTAGCGCTTGTAGTAGAAGCACTTGTTTTGCAGTCGTATGTTCATTGATCCTAGTAGTAGTCATACGGGTAGTGGTAGTACTAGTCGAAATAAATATAGTAGTCACAATAATTCTGGTGGTCGTAGTCGTAGTCGTAGTAGTAATAGTAGTAATAATAGAAGCCGTCGTACTAGTAGTAGTAGTCGTCGTTGTCGCAAACACAAATATTTGTAGCAAAAGTCATATTAGTCGTCGTCGTACTAGTACACGTGGTACTAGTAGAATCAAGAACTACTACCATTACTGATCGTAGTTGTCGTCGTAGTCGTACGACGCCACCGCAATGGTAGAAGTAGTAGTAGAAGTAGTAGTAGTAGTAGTAGTAGTAGTAATAGTAGTGGTAGTAAAAGTCGTACTAGTAAACATAGGAGCAGAAGTAGTCGTAGCAGTCGTAGCAGTGATAACAAGGTAACAGCGAAGTGCAGAAGTAACACTAAATAATAGCCGTTGTAATCATAGTAATAGTAGTTGTACTGGTAGTAACAGCCGTAGTAGTCGTAGTCGAAAGAGTAGTAGTAGTAGCAGCAGTAGTAGCAGTAGTAGTAGTAGTAGTAGTAGTAGTAGTAGTAGTAGTAGTAGTAATGGTAGAAATAGTAGTAGTCGCACCCGGAGTACTACTAATAGTGGTAGTAGTAGTAGTAGTAGTAGTAGTAGTAGTAGTCGTAGTCGTAGTCGTAGTAGCAATAGTAGTAGTAGTAGTAGTCGTCGTAGTCGTAGTAGTCGTAGGCGTACCAGTAGTAGTCGCCGTTGTCTCCGTCGAAGTAGCAGTAGTAGTAGTAGTAGTAGTAGTAGTAATAGTAGTGGTTGTAATTATAGTAGAAGAAGTCGTCGTTGTAGTTGTGGTGGTAGTAATAGTAAAAATCGTTTCAGTGCTACTCTTGCTACTAGTCGTAGTCGCAGTCGCATTCGTACTCGTACGTCGCCGTCGTACGAGTAGTAATAGTAGTCGTAGAGGTAGGGCGCAGTAGAAGTCGTAGTAGCAGTAGTACTTGTAGTAGTAATCGCGTAGTCGTACTAATCGTAGGGGTAGGCGTAGCATTAGAAACAGTAGTCGTAATAGAAGTAGTAGTAGTAGTAGTAGTAGTAGTAGTAGTAGTAGTAGTAGTAGTAGTAGTAGTAGTAGTAGTAGGTCGTAGTAGCAATAGTAGTAGTAGTCGTCGTAGTCGTAGTTGTCGTAGGCGTACCAGGAGTAGTCGCCGTTGTCTCCGTCGAAGTAGCAGTAGTAGTAGTAGTAGTAGTAGTAGTAGTAGTAGTAGTAGTAGTAATAGTAGTGGTTGTAATTATAGTAGAAGAAGTCGTCGTTGTAGTTGTGGTGGTAGTAATAGTAAAAATCGTTTCAGTGCTACTCTTGCTACTAGTCGTAGTCGCAGTCGCATTCGTACTCGTACGTCGCCGTCGTACGAGTAGTAATAGTAGTCGTAGAGGTAGGTCGTAGTAGAAGTCGTAGTAGCAGTCGTAGTTGTAGTAGTAATCGCGTAGCCGTACTAATCGTAGGGGTAGGCGTAGCATTAGAAACAGTAGTCGTAATAGAAGTAGTAGTAGTAGTAGTAGCAGTAGTAGTAGTAGTAGTAGTAGTAGTAGCAGTTGCAGTAGCAGTAGCAGTAGCAGTAGCAGTGGCAGCAGTAGCACTAGCACTAGCAGCAGTAGTAGTAGTAGTAGTAGTAGTAGTAGTAGTAGTCGTCGTAATGGTGGTGGTAGGATAAGTAGTGAGGCGTAATAGAGAAGTAGAGGAGCATTCGTGATAGTCGTGGTGGTGATGACCGCGAAAAGAACAAGCGCGCCTGCCATGTTCCTGTGCGCGTGGGCACCGCAATGGCCTGCGAGCGCCACAGCATGCCTTGCGCACCACAGCGTGCACGGCGGCATGCTTCCCTGTGGGGGGGCCGCACGCCCTGCCCAGTCGTTCGTTACCACTACGGGGGGGAGGGGGGGGCGGAAGCGAAGGGCGACAACCCGTCACAAACGTTGCGCGGTGGGTTTACCAGGTGTCAGGAAAAACAAGTTCCGAGCAGGAGGAGGAGGAGGAGGAGGAGGGGAAAGACGCAATCTCAATCAACATCGAATCGTGGAAACCGGATTGCCTCGGATTATCCGTCGCATCGGATTGCATCGGCTCGGAGTTCACACTGCATCGGAACGGCCGCGCCATGATGCGCAAAAACAACGTGCAAGCGTCGGGCCAAATGGGATCTTAGGAGTACCAGAGTCGACTCGAATCGAGCCTGCTGGAACCGATATCGAATCGGGTTGATCGGATCGCAATTGGCCCTGCGAGGATGATGAGGACTGTTTCAAGTAGACACTTCAGAATACAGCTAGGATAGGGACAGGGACAGAGCATCAGGGCAAGCGGAGTGCTTCACTTCGGCCGACCGCGGCCGTTAAAATAGCATGCGCAGCAAACTCCTGGCCCGCGTGCCGCTATCATGGGGGAAGAACAAACGCCCTAAGCATAAACTGTCGGAGCTTCGCGCGGATTTCTTGGATTGGCGCTGGACCCCTCTCCCTGGCGCGCAGAGCGCGCCAGGGGCGGCACCGAAGGCGCCGCCAGGGGGGTCCATCGCAGATCCAAGAAACCCGCGCGGACCGTCGTCAGTTTCTGCTTGTGCAGGTTCTTCTTCTTCGATGTCAGCACGATGGTCGAGCCCATCGGGACCTCCCCAGGACACACGAGCATGGGCAAACGCTTCCGGACGCCCGTGCGCGGGGTCTCCGCCAGCGCCAGGGCCCTCTCCGGGAACACCCAGCCTGGCCCGCCCAGGAGGGCAGGGAAGGGGGCGCTGTCCGGCGCTGGCGGGGAAACCGCCCGACCACGCCCAGCAGTTTACGCGCACGCTGGCTTCCCAGACATGCAGCGTCCTGAAACATTTAAAAAAAGCAGGAGGGGTGGTTTTCTAAAACTTCGGCCTCTGGGGGGCCGGCCTGACTGGACCACGGGACCGTCCAAGAACTACTAGCAGTGAAAAACTGGCCCTGGGGAAGGGTCGGGACTCTTTGAAAAAATCAGGATGTCGCATGTCTGGGTTGTCTGCTGCCAGGAAACCTTACAGTCTACGCTCTGCGCTCGGCACGATGGTCCAGTCCTGCGAACCAGTCCATTCCGGCTCCCGACGGCTCCATGTCGACGGCCCACTGGGGCACGGACAGGCCGGGGAGCCTCTCGTAATCCTCCGAGTAGTAGACAATTGCCTTCATCAGGGTCGACGTCCTGAAATCCCCTTCCTCCTCCTCCTCCTCCTCCTCCTCCTCCTCCTCCTCCTCCTCCTCCTCCTCCTCCGTCCCTCCCGCTTCCCCTCCCTCCTAGCCATTTCGCACCCTAGCGCCCCCCCCTGAACGGGGCGCCCGAGGGCGTTTTGCAGCGCAAGCGTCGAACTGGCAATGCGCCCAGGAGCCGTCATGAAGAAACGTGGAGCCCAACGTCATCAGTTACCGTGCTGAAAGACTAGGCGCACGTGCAGTCGCCAGGACCCGCGCCCTCCTCTCGCCCCTCCTCCTGTCCCTCCCTCCCTCCCCCTCGTCACCCTGGCAAACAGCAGCGCCGCCGCTGCGGCGGGCCGCAGGATCGCGCCCGAGGACCACGCGGTCAACGAGACCGCCGACCAGTTGGCGGGCGCCGCCGCGCGCGCCCGTTTGCCCGAGCGCGCGCTTTGTGACGGGCGGCAGGTGCAGCTGCACGCGCTGCGCTCTCTCCAGCGGCTGCTGGCCCCCGTGCAAGTTGGCCGCGCTGCGCGCCAACCACGAGGGCTCGGGGCCGGCGGGACCCAGGGTGCGCAGGCGCTGGACGGGCGGCCCACGGCTGGCGTGGGCTGCGCGGCCCCGCGGGCAGCAGGCGCAGCAGCAGCAGGCGCCGGCGGCGGACCCGCCCCCGCAGCGGCAGCGGCGTGCCCGGCGACCGTGGGCGGTCGGCCAGGGTTTGCCTCAGCGCGGCGCCGCCGAGGCCGCCCGCGCCCTCTTCGGGGGCGGCGTGTGGGCTCCGCACGAGGCGTCGCAGGGCCCCCGGGTGGGTCGCGTGCCTCTGCTGCGGTAGCGCAGCCCCGCACTGGCAGGCACCGGCGGCGCGGCCTTGCCCAGGGTGGGCCAGCGCGCTGCCTCCTCGCGCGGCGGCGCTCCTTCTGGTGCCCGCAGTGCGGGCGGGGGGCAGCGAGGCGGGTTGGCGCGCGGCGCTGCGCAGGCGGCTGGAGGCGCGGCCAGGGCCGCGGGACTAGGCTAATGTCGTGCAGCCCAGGGCTCGGGCTGCCTGTTTCACCCGCCTCCTCCCCCTCCCCCTCCCCTCTCCTTCTCCCCCTCCTCGCGCTTGTAAGATTATCCCAGTGCGACCCTACCTAGGAGTTGGAGCCCCTAGGGAAGCAGCATTAGTAGTAACAGTAAAGCTAGGCTAAAGCAAAGCTGAAGTTAAGCTAAAACTAAGATAAAGCTAAGCTAAAGCCATGCTAAAGCTAAGCTAAATCTAACCTAAGCTAAGCTGAAGCTAAGCTGAAGCTAAGCTGAAGCTAAGCTGAAGCTAAGCTAAAGCTAAGCTAAAGCTAAGCTAAAGCTAAGCTAAAACTAAGCTAACTCTAAGCAAAAGCTAAGCTAAAGCTAAGCTAGAACTAAGCTAACGCTCAGCTAAAGCTAAGCTAAAGCTAAGCTGAAGCTAAGCTAAAGCTAAGCTAACGCTCAGCTAAAGCTCAGCTAAAGCTAAGCTGAAGCTAAGCTAAAGCTAAGCTAAAGCTAAGCTGAAGCTAAGCTAAAGCTAACGCTAAGCTAAAGCTAAGCTAAAACTAAACCTCAAGCTCCCAGGGGACTGGGGGAACCGCGGGGCGGATACTGGGAGAACCGCCCGGGGCGAGTTGCACTGCCCGGCCCTTTAAGCATACCGAGTAAGAACCCTTCTAGGCAGAGCCTAGGTAAGTAAAAATGCAAGCAGAGACAGGCTGCGGCTGGCAGCCCGCCCCGCAGGCGAGCCGGGTCAGAGCCCGCGTCGGCCAATGTCATCAGCTCCAGGGCTGGGTTCAGTTCTTGCGTGCAAGCAAGCAGAGCAGCGGCAGCCAACTCAGTCGCTAACCCGCGAGGTCGAAAGCGAAGCGCAAGCCCGACGTCATCAGCTACAGCGCTGGGACCAGGGCGTGCGAGGGAGAGGGGCGACGGGCGGCTCCTGCGTCATGCTGCGAGAAGCGGGAGGCAAAGCTGGAGCCCAATGTCGTGCAGCGGGCGACACATCGGCTACCAGGTTGGGATCAGTTCTTGAGAGAAGGGCAGCACCGAACGGCTGCGCAACTACAACGTTGGCAGGAGTTCATGCGAAAAGGAACTCGCGCGGGTCAACGTCATCAGGTCAAGCGCTGGGACCTGTATGTGCGTGCGAGAAGGCAGAACATTGGTAGCAACCTCAGCCGCTGCTCCGCGAGGTTGAAGGCGAAGCGCAAGCCCGATGTCTTCAGTTACAGCGCTGGGACCAGGGCGTGCGAAGACAGCCATTGCGAGAAGAGCGAGATGTGGTTGGGCATGGAACCGAGCCAGGCCCGCCCCACGACCCCTGCCGAAAGGCGGGGACCAGGGTGGAGGTGGGAGAAGGACTGCGCAGGAGCAGACATCATCAACCCCAATGCGGAGATGAAGTCGGGGCGCGAAATGGCGAGCAGGTCTGGACTGATCTCGGGGAAGGTAGCTGGAGCACCACACTGTCAGCTACAAATTCGGTATGGCCTCAGGGCTACATCTCACAACCTACTAGTTCTTGCTCGGGAACCGCCCGTAGCGTCTGGTAGTGGTGCTGGTGGCAAACAGCGTGTGCCGCTTCACTAGTCTGAATCGCTCGAATCCGCTCGAATCCTCCCTCCCTCCCTCCCTCCATTCCTCCTCCCCTGTTCGCACGAGCACGCGCAAGGGGCGGGAAACGCCAACATGCGGCGCTCCTGTTGAAGCCGTTCTCACCGCCGCCCGTGCCAGTCGGGTTCACAGCCGAACTGTGGTCAGCAGGGAAGAACACGTCGGTCAAGTCGTCAGCATCGAACGGATCCTTCACCGTCCGCGCCCGAGCGGGCTGGTGTGGGTCGCGGTAGCCGGTGAAAAACGACTCCTTCCAGTCGCTGTCCTCGGACGGAGCCAGGTAAGTGTCTGCGAGCCACCTGGCCACGCAGAGCGCGTTGTCAGCGGAGCCTGAACAATTGTGCCCTGGGATGGCCCCGAAGGTCGCCCGCGACTGGTCGGAGTCCCGCGATAACGCCAGCCGCAACATCGTCACCACCTGGGCATGCATGTCAGTGAAATTCTTCGAGGTGTGCCCGACGAAATCGTAGTCCCCTATGAAACTCGGCAGCCCGCCGCCAAACCGGCTCTGCTTGATCCAATGCTCGTCCTTGGGGGAATCCTAGATTACATATACCGCTACTCCACGGGCCTCTCCTAGGGTGCTCTCTGACGAGAAATTCGAAGCGAATACAGCGGTGGTGACGGGGGCCTCCCAAGAGGCCCCCCAAAGGGGGGAATCGAGGTAATGGTAGCGGTATGGGTACCTTCTCCTCCTCCGAGCCCTCCTGGGGCGAACGGGAGTGAGGGCTCGCAAGCGGAGGGGGTACCGAATCAGCAGCTGCACGTAGCTGGTCCTTCTCTGTCGCCCCCCCCCCACCCCCAGGCGCCGAAGGAGGGCCCCGAGGCAGAGGCCCCGCGGGAGAAGCCGAAACCGATTCCAACCATCAGGTTTGTCCTCAACCTCTTCCTCCCCCTCCTCCTCCTCCTGCTCTTCCTCCTCCTCCTCCTCCTCCTCTTCCTCCTCCCTCTCCTCCTCCTCCTCCTCCTCCTTCTCCTCCTCCTCCTTCTCCTCATTCTCCTCCGCATCGTCCCTAGTGCTACTTGTGCTCCTCCTCCTCCTCCTCATCCTCCTCATCCTCCTCCTCCTCCTCCGTCTCCTCCCTGCCATTCCTTCTCCTCCTCATCCTCTTCCCTTCTCCTCCTCCTCCTACTACTACTACTACTGCTGCTCCTCCTCCTCCTCCTCCTCCTCCTCCTACTACTACTACTACTACTACTACTACTACTACTACTACTACTACTACTACTACTACTACTACTACTACTACTACTACTACTACTACTACTACTACTACTACTACTACTGCTACTACTACTACTTACTACTACTACCTACTAC